CCGTCCTTCTCCCTGGGGGCTCCGCGGGTCTTTCCGTCGGACTGCAGCCTCGAACGTCACATATTTTCGGGGTTGTGAATGGGGCTGGCAGACACGCCAGACCTGTCTCAGAAAGTTATGGCCGTCACCTGTTGCCTCCAGGTACCCCAGCGTCGGTGGGACTGTGGATTGCGCTCCGATTCTTGGGATGTGGCGCCTGCTCGCTCGCTGCGTTTACACACGTTATGACCAAAGCGAATTATAAACAGAAAGGTTTCTAAGGATAACAGCGCGTAAATACTTTCCCATTTTAATCACCTCCCCACCCGAAACAATGGGGTGTGGCAATCTGCATCCTCCTAGCGGCAACCAGATCCTTCAAATGTCCCTATTTTCCAGGGACATCCCTGATTTAGAGAAGCCATCCCGGTTTCTGATTTGATCCCGGAATGTCCCACTTTTCCTTAGGATGGCCCTGTGGAGAAATGTTGGAGGGTATGGAGTTATCCGACACCTGAGCTGTCTGAAGGCAACCCAGTATAGGAGGGTTTTTTAAATGTTTTATTATGTTTATATATATATGCCCAGATTTGCTGGGGCAACCCAGTAAGATGTGTGGGGGTATAAACAGTAAAATTATCATTATGGAATGGGACGTCCTTCTTTTCATCGGAGAAATGTTGGAGGGTATGCAAAACATGAATGGCCAAGGTCATTTTCTGTTTTCTGAAACTCTTGCGCTTAGAAGTCTGCTCACTTCAAGAAGGTCGGGGGCCTAAGTCGGACTGAAGCCTATTGGGTTGGCGTCCCAAATCCGAACCCATTTTTTGACGAGCAAATTCCCAGAGAGTATTTGCTTCAAAATGCGGTCGCTACCCATTCAGCTTTATCCCAGGAACGTCTGTTCTCACTGGCTTGATTTCTTGACATGAGTTGAAATAACAGAAATATCGTAAACCGTATTCCCGCCCCCCTCTCCATTTCCTCGAGGTATTGAATTAAATAATGGCAAAACTTTAGTAGCCCAGAGTGAGGAACCACAAATGCTCTTCCTTCTTTCCAGTGCTAGAAATAAAATAAGCGCAACCTGAAAGTGAACATGCCCTAAAGGGCTAGTAGTTACGCACTACAGCATGGGCGTAGCCAAGGGGGGCAGCTGCCCCCCATTAAGTAAAACAATAGAAATACTTAAGTAACTGACCAATCACATCTGCCCCCCCTAACAAAAGTCCTGTTCCCCCCAACAAAAATCATGGCTCCGCCCATGAGCACTAGTGACTCCTCAAGCACATTTAACCAGCTTTGTCTTATTCATTACCCGTGCGTAAAGGATGGTAAGGATCCCCTCCCTTCTTGTGCTTATGAATGACCTGGTGATTTCTCATTCGTATCAGGAAGTACAAAGCCGGAGTATTTGTTTCTGATCAGTTGCTTCATGTCTGAACTTGAGGAAGGATCATTTCCTTAGGTTCAGCCTAATTCTGAGCAGCCCTTTCTCTTCCAACAAAGATAACCTCATATCCTTTAGATCCGTCTTAACTATTACACCTAAATAACAGCCGCTATATAATTATTGCACCTGAATAACAGCTGCTATGTGCAGCCTGTGCCTTTCCATGACTTAATAGGACGTACTACTAAGCAAATGTCCTCAGCGCAAACACGAATAACTTTCCAGTCTCCAGAAGCGCGACTGGATGCAAAAGATCGAATAAACCTTCTGCAGCTTCCAAATGCTAACCTCCAAAGACTTCCAAGATTTATTTATTTTTAAAATTCATGGTTCTAGTGGTCTTCGGTGTCCTCTCTCATTTACTTACATTGAATCGGTCTCTGCAAAATTGTTGCAAAAAAGGAACCACACTAGAAACAAATCCGAATGCTATTAAGAACTCTGCAGCAGCTTTTGACTTCTCATTTAGAACTGCTCCGGAGTCAGTGGGTGCCAGGAGCTAGCCTGGTCCGTTACTACCTGGAAATATGCGCCACTGGATTCAGTGGGATGAACTTGTACACCATCCCATCCCCACCCCATCAAATAGCCATACTCAGTCCTGTCCATTAATTTCAATGGGTCTCCTCTAACTTAGGTCTCCCCAACCACAAATACCCCTACCCAGCTGGGAGTAAGTAAGCACTGGCCCGAGGTCCATTGATTTAGTGGGTCTTTACTGAGTATGGCCAACGTTGGACACCACTCAAAGGGGACTTCTCCCCGCCCATCAGTGCAGCTTTCCAAATATGTCCCCTTGGCATCTGCGCTATGGGACTTAATTCGAAGTCACTGCGCTTGAAGCTTCGGAGAGCATTTGCTCCCTCCCTCCCCCCTTGCAGTTTACGATCAAGCTGCTAGTTAGAATAGTAGATGGAGCAGTGGAACTTCCTGCCGCAGGAACACAAAAGAGCTGCGGAGCCACAGCGAGAGCCAGCCCACTGCGAGCATTGGAAAGTGAGGATTATTTATATTCAGAGCCCAAACTCTGCTCTTTTTGGAAGAGATATCCGTTGTCCCTCTGTGCCATATCTTAGGCTTTTTTCTTTGTTTTCACCAAAATACATAGTAATGCGTGGAAATCGCGCCTTAAACCACTCGATTTGCTGTCAGCTCGGGCCAATGCTTACTTACTCCCAGTTGGGTAGGGGTATTTGTGGGTGGGGAGACCTCGGTGGGAGCAGGAGGGGCTTCTAACACCACCATATTATTTCGTAGACTAATCCCCTTCGCCTTCCCTCAAATAACTTTTTGATTTGAATCGAGGGAGAGGTTGAACAGACGTTCTTTCTTCGCTAATGTGATATAAATCACAGATGCACTTTCTTTCCCCCCCCCGAATGGTTAAAGCATGGAGACATGGAGATCATGAGCGCACGCACGCACACCCCCAAGAAAGAAAGGAAAAGACGAAGGCCCGGACCCCAAAGGAAAACCACCGAAAGAAAGTAAAGCTGGTTAATAAGATTTTTTTGGAAGGGAGAAAGCTTTGTGTCCCCAAGTTAAAAAAAAGAGGGGTGTTGAAACAGCTGAAGGTGACAGTTAGTTCATGCTTAATAGGATCAGGGCTGCCTGCCTGGGGCTGCACGCTTTTGCCGGCTAAAAGTTCAGCACCAAAAGGCTGAATAGGGTGCTTTTAAAACATACGACGATTTAACACATCTGTTAGAGATTCTGCAACGGAGAGGTTCAAAAAGAGAAAAGAAAAGAAAAGGGAAAGAAAGCCTTTGCAACGACCTCTTTGCAGTGTTAACTGCCCTCAGTTTTCGACTGCCCAGCACGTTTGGGTTGGTTTTTCTTTTATGCATTCACCCACCAACGATTTTTCTTGAATACCAGAATATCGCTTTTTTTTCCAGTGAGGTTGGAATTGGCTTTGTGCTAAATTTCCCATTCGATAGCCATGCCAGACTTCCCTGTTCGCAGTCTTGCCTCTCTCCCAGACACCTGCAATTCAGCATAACGATGCATCTTGAGGAAGTGCGCTGCAGCACGCGGAATTTCTGCCATAATAAATGTGTCAGTCTTCAGGACTCTTCGGTCTCGCTCCGAGCCTAGTCCTACTGCCCCTCCAGAGAGGTGTTTTCAGAAAGTCTGCTAAAAAGCCGCTTAGAGGCTAGAGGGCTGAAACATCAAGCAAATAGTTATGCGATCAGCCTGTACAGGGAGCGACAGTGGCAGTGCAGTCTTGTCCACTGTTCCTCGGAAGCCAAGTCCCATCGCATTACATACTGGGCATACGCCTGGGGCTTACCTTGGTGTGCCTTGCAGCGTGGGTCTGTTTGAAAAGAAAGCGCCGTTGAGATGCACAAGCCAGTACGATGGCAGCAGCCCTTGCGGCTGACGCCCATTTTGGTCGCCTCCAAGTGGAGGCGAATCCGCTTGAAATCAAGCAATGGAACTTCGACGTGAGTTGAAATAGGAACTTACCTTCCATAACAGCAAATAAATGGTTTTGTTTCCAAGGAACATATTTAGGATCGCAGTGCAAATCGGCTAAAGTCTTTTTTTTTTAAAGCGATGCTTTATTTTATTGCCCAAAATAAAACATTAAATTTAAAAATCGGTACATAATATGAATTAGTAATCGTATGCGATGTAAGGCTGTTTCCCAAAATGGGTAAGATTTTGTCTTCAGCAAATTGTTTTTTAATAAAGCTACATTTTTGCTTTCCAGGATGTCTCAAAGCCAGGCACAAAGTGGTTACGACGAACATGTAGTTCTAATTTCCATTATATACAGACCTATATATAGTTTTGCTTTGGATAAGTTAAAAAACAAAACAAAAACCACACGCCCCATACACACCAAAACACTCCATCCCAGAACGCTGATTTATGACTAGGTCTTTAACCGCAGCAATCGCGGGAGCCCGTTTAAACCTTAGCAACTGGAAACTTGTTCCGAGACGCAGACACTCTGGGGAGCAGCCCAATTTAAGTTCAGCAACTAACACCCCCCACAACAAAGCCCCCGCAAAAGGCACAGCGGATCATATATCATATATATAAAAAAACCTTTTCATCTGCGGCAAAGATTTCACTTCACGTTGCCTCATTTGTATTTTCTATTCTGCAGAAAGCTCCGTGATAAGTTTATATGAATATTTATCGCTTTATTTCCTGAGAGCCAGCGGGGGTGGGGGTGAGAGACGGACAGAGAGAGCGCGCGCGCGCAAATAAATGTAATGCTTTTCTTAAAATAATTCCCCCCTTTTTTCACTTAAGAGTGTGGGGGAGAAAATGTCCCTGGAAACTTTTTGTAAATATATAAATAAATAAGAAATACGCATTTAATTATCCGTCCCGTGTGTGCGCGCCTTGCATCGGAACAAAACCCCGCTGGTCGCCCTCGGAGCGACGCCTTTCCCCCAAGAGGCGGTCAATATGCAAAATTGATGCCTGCCCCTTCTTTGTGGCGGGCCCATTGTGCGGGGCTTGCTGATGAAGCCTAATCCAATCCTAAATTGCGCCCCCGGACCAATCAGGGAGCCCCGAGTGCCCGATGAATGAAACTCAAGGGGAGAACCCCATTGTGGGAGCTGTCACTTCGGGAAGCGCCTGAGCGGCCCGGACCCCTATAAAACCCCATTGCGCCAGAGAAAGGCCGAGGAGAAGAAGCCTGCCAGTCTCGCTTAGGTGGATCTCGAGAGAAAAGGAGACAGAGCAAGACCATTTGTTTAAAAAATAAAAAAGCGGGAGGGGGGAGGAAAAAGGAAGCGGGGCGAAGACTACTTTGGGAAAGCAACAGCCAGCCCTTCCAAGTTGAGGCTTGGACCCTTGGCCAGGCGGGCGCTTCCTCTGCCTCCCTCCCCGTCTCCTGCCATGATGTTCCCCAGCCTGATCGCGCCTCCCGCCGTCTACCCGAGTCTCCTGCGGCCCACGCCGACCCTCACGCTGCCGCAGTCGCTGCAGTCCGCCTTCTCCGGCCACTCCAGCTTCCTGGTGGAAGACCTCATCCGCATCAGCCGGCCCGCTGCTTACCTGCCTCGCGGCGGCGGCGTTCCGCCGCCGGCCAGCCTGTCCCCACCGCCTCTGTCGGGCGCCAGCCCCTCCCGGACGGGCCCGCCAGGACCCTCGTCGGCCGAGCCGGCCAACTCCGACGGCGCTGCGCGACGGGGCTGCTCGGCGCCCGCCTCCGCCTCGCCCGCCAGCGACGCGCCCTTCCTCAAGTTCGGCGTGCACGCCATCCTGTCGTCGGCGCCCCGGACAGGTGAGCGCGCTGCGCCGTCGGGGGGAAGCTGAGGGAGGGAGCCTCCGCTCGGGTTGGCTCAGGGAAGGAGGCCTTGCCAATGGGAGGAGCGGGGAGGTGCCAGGTGTGCCTGTGTGTGTGTGTAAGATGGAGACTTGACGAGATGGACAGGAGCTTCCTCCTTTGCGCACCCATTCAGGAGAAAAGGAGCGGGGGGACGGACACTCGTATAGCAGTAGGGAGGATCGCGTCACTAACCAGGTGTGGAGAGAGTTAAAAGGGGGGAGTAATTGGATATTCTTCCCAGTTGTGGTAGGTAAATCAATAGACACGATTCCCGGGGTTGGGTTGGGAGAGAGACTGCATTTGCTTCTCTAGCACCACCGACGTGACAAAAAAGAGAGAGATGTCAGTTCTAGTAATGCTTCGTCAATGTGATTCATTAGTTCCACAGGAAGCTAGGTGGAGGAGGACCACTGTCCCAGCATCGTGACATTGTCTCTCCGGGGTTTCAGGCTTGGGAGGGGAGAGGCGTCTCTTTCGATCTTGCTACCTGGAGATGACAAGAACTGAACAATCGGAAACCCTTAGCATTTTAGTGCCTGCGCTCTAACCACTAAGCCGCAGCCCTTCCTTGCCTTCAACCCGTCCTTACTAATGTGCATTTTCTCTGCTCTCCCCAGAAACCTCCCACGCGCTGATGCAGAACGTCCCTCCCAAGACTTTCACTTTCCCGTATTTCGAAGGATCCTTCCAACCTTTCATCAGGTCTTCTTATTTTCCAGGTAGGTCTGGGGTCCTCCTCCTCCTCGGCGCTCGCCCCCCCCCCCCCCGCCACCCACTGCTCCTTCATTGTTGCAGGCATCAAAAGCGAATTATATCTTTCGGAGGGTCCGGGAGGTGGCGGCGGTGGATGGGTGGGGGAGGGGGAGGGGGGAGGCCGTTGCTCGTCCTCCAGTTCAGAGGTTGGACGGGGTACAACATTCAAGAATCCGTCGCGCCAATTTGATGCCCTATTTAGCACAAGCGCGGTGGCTGCTTGACATTTTCGTTCCCAATTTCTCTTCTCTCCCCCCCCCCACGCCCCTCCCCTGCTCGACAAATTAGCTGGGATTGTCACGGTCCGAATGCGAGGCGGTTCAATTCTGACACAGAGATGCTGTCCGGCCTCCTCTTCAGGGCGGCAGTTTTCCCACAGAGCCGGTGATCGGCAACAAAAGTTTCAGCACCATGACCAATTTGGTCAGCTCCCTCCGGGCAACCACACACAGACCAAGCGCTGACTCCGCCGTGCTGCTGATAGACATTTACCAGCCATGGGCTAATTTCCCTTTAAAGGTCATTCGCTTTGCCAACGTTTTCACAAGGCCACATGGAGCGCTCCCTTGTTTGGGAATTCGGTGTGGCCGAAGCCAAACCCCCACCTCCAAATCTTTTGCTCTGAGAAAGTTATTACCTACCTCCATCTCAAAGGGACCTCAGAAGCAGGTGGGTCCCAGGCTCTGCAGAATCAGGCTGGGAGGCCAGGACCAATTCACACCCTACTACCCTGATGACTGCCAACTTTCCTGCTAAATGATGTTACTTAACCATTGCAACCTCTGCCACCCAAAGTATTAAAACTCAACATATAGCGCCTGGTGTGAGCCTGGGATCACCTGGTGCTACAGCATTGCTACAGTTAGGCAGGTGGTTTGGAAAGGAGATCAATAGAGCCTTTCCCCAGGTAAGCTCCCCCAAGTTTTCAAAAGAAAGAGAGGCACAAAAGAAGCACCTATAGATACCACATTTCCATACTGAAGTTATGTTCCACTGCCAGTTTGGGTTTTCAACTTTTTCTATGGGGTGTGTAGAATCCTACACAGAGGATACCTCTCACATTACACATCTATAATCCTCTACTGGTGTCGAACTGAAATTAAATATGTTTAGAAGAATATGCCCCAAATTATCACACACAGATCTACTCTAATCCGCTGTTGGTGTTCAACTGATTTGGAGCATATTCTTTTAAACATTTTCAAGTTAGGAATGCCTAGGCAAGTTAACTTCAAATCTTACTTTTGAAGCTGAGAAAAGTGACGGTTAAGAAGAACGACTCTCAAAAATATCACTCTACCAACAAGCTGCTAATATACTTTGTACCAAAAGCCAAGAGCTCCTTCATTCACTCTCCTGATAATGGAATTTGCTTCCTTTCTCCAGCATTTGAATGGCCCAACAAAAACAACTTGAGCCTTATATATAGCTTTTCATGTCCATTTAATGAAAATGATTTGGGGAAAGAGAAGGCTGTGTCATCAGTATTCTCTCCAAGGAGCTTGGCATGCAGTTGTGTTTAGTTTGAAAGTGTAAATCTCTTTTGTTCCAATAATATATGGCTTTAGCTGCTTGTCCTCAGTCTTTTTCTGTTAGTTCATTACTACACAATTACCATTCACGCTTCATTAGAATCTCTGTTTCTCTTTGGGAGTTTTTCTTTCCGCTTAAAGGCGAAACTCTGCCCTTTTTATCATACCAATTCCATTGGGAACCAGTCGATGTGCTAATTAGCTGTTACTTTTCATGTCTCCAGAGTGAATTCTGCAAGTTTTGTAAGGAAGAGGTGGGGGCAGGGGAGGAAAGATTCATATATTAAAAAGATGAATACTGATTGATCAAAACTTGCCACTTAAAAGGACTTTTTTGTTCCTGTAAGAAAAGTCCCTTATTTTAATCTGGGGTAAAATAAAGTTCCTGCAATGGGGGTGGGGGTGGGGGACTTCTGAACATTTAAATACTCAGACAAGAGAGAGAGAGAGAGTTCTTACCCCCTTCCCTCCCCCCCCCCTTTTAAAAGTATACCTCTATCTTCCTGGCCTTTTCTTTTGAAAGTTAAGATCTTTGAATCTGGTAACAAAACAGGCCAACTATAGATACATTCACTTGGTGTATCTAATCAAATCTGGTTACCATTGGCTGAAAAGGACAGTTAAGTTAAGCGTAAACTCCCTTTCACAAAACCAGGTTCATAGGTGCTGATCTGCTTAATTCAGCTGAGAGTACAGAAAGGAAAAAAGAGATGGCAAGAAAGAGAAAGAAGAGAGAAATCTATGGGCATGCAAATGAAAGGGAGATTTGCTCCTTGACTTCAGTGGGATGGGGATTCTATCTTTTGGAGCAGGACTTTTGGAACCAAGCTTGTCTTTCTTTCTTTTTTTTAAAAAAAGCTGTTCCAGCCTGTTTCAGTGCTTTATTTTTTCCTTTTCTCACAGCTTCATCTGTGGTGCCTATTCCTGGCACTTTCTCTTGGCCTCTGGCTGCCCGGGGGAAACCACGCAGAGGTATGCTCCGCAGGGCTGTCTTCTCAGATGTGCAGCGCAAAGCCCTGGAGAAAATGTTCCAGAAGCAGAAGTACATCAGCAAACCAGACAGGAAGAAACTGGCAGCCAAGCTGGGCTTGAAGGACTCCCAGGTAAACTCCTCTTCTTTCTCCCCCTAGACAATCACAGAGAATGTGAAGCCACAGGTTGGAAAGAGGTTGGCGGTGGTGGCGGTAGACATTTAACCTTCACTTCTCAAAAACAAGACCACTCCTCCTCAAAGAGAAGTGTGAGTATAAGGAGACTTTCTGAACAGGAGCCAAAGACTCCATCCAGATAATGTTGGCGGCAGTTAAGAGCAATAGACATGACCCCCTGGCTCTGTGGTAGGAGGAACTTTGAACCTGACAATCTGAAAGTTGCTCAGTGTGGTATTATACTCCCACTGATTTCAGTGAGATGTAAGCATGACAGTCTTTTGATTACTGGCACTTTTTAAAATGAACAAATTTATTATAGTTATATCAGGCATCCCCAAACCCAGCCCTCCAAATGTTTTGGGACTACAACTCCCATCATCCTTGACCACTGGGCCTGTTAGCTAGGGATGATGGGAGTTGTAGTCCCAAAACATCTGGAGGGCTGAGTTTGCTTATGCCTGGCATAGCACTATACTGTTTACCTGCAAGTAGGCCCCACTGAAATAAATGGGACTTAGTTTTGAGTATGCATGCATTGCTACCTCTAAGTATTATTATTTCTTAAATGGGGCCATGGAGAGTTTTGCATGAATAGGTTAGTCTCAATCAAATCAATGTGACTAATTTCTCAAGTTGATCCCTGGCTTGGGCTAGGGGAGGAGAGGAAGGGGAAGTCTCATTGTGTGAATGAAAGGTCATTCTGCAAGTAGACTGTTAGGTGTCATACAATTAGTTGCTGAAAACAAATAAACAAAAAACACTATATTATCCTTTATTGCATTTCTTGGTTGCTTTCCACCAGAAAATGGTCTCAAAGCAGCTTGACAGAATAGAAATGCTTATTGCAGCCCAATGCGCATCACCCTCAGGTTTATTTTCACAGCCCCCTTTGAGAATTTCATGAGGTCTCCTTGGGCTAGTCCAACATATTAACTTGCATTTCTGGCACAAGGGTGGGGGATGAGATCTTCGCCAAGGAAAAACCTGAAAATTGGTAAAATTTGGAAGTGCTGGCTGCCACCAGATATATGAGCTTTCCTGAGTTGCTGCCCTGAATGCAGATCTGGAGCACCTTAGAATGGTTGTCTCCATTATGCATACTTAAAAAAAGAGATGCAAAAACTCCCACCTTCTTGCAAGAGCGAGACATGGGGTTGCATTCAACATTGGGTAAGTGTAGTTTAGCTCATGAAACTTGACTTTCCCTTCTCTCCACCCGCTTGCATCCCTCCACTATGCCCCCCAAATCTGCTTTGGAGGCCCTCAAACTTTAGAGCAGATTTTGAGGGTGCACAAGGGGCTGCAGGGAGGAGGGAAGGAAAGTCCCATTGTGCAAATGCATGCTTCTTCTACTGCCACCACATTAGGACAGGATATAACCCATTTTGTTTTTGGACAACCCAAGTAATTTTCAAAAAATTGTACAACTGTTTCTTTGTGGAGTCATCTTTGATGCTTAGTGCAGCTCACTTAGGGAGTGGCCCTTGAGGATCTTGTGTAGGGTGGGGAGAGGTAAGGATTCTGCTCTTCAAATGTGTCTCCGCATGTGTACTTGATGGTTGGTGTTAGTCATGTAGCAGTTGCCTTGATGCTGCAAAACCTTATTTGTGTACCCTTGAAAACTCTAGGTGAAGATCTGGTTTCAAAACAGGAGGATGAAGTGGAGAAACTCCAAAGAGAGAGAGCTGCTGTCATCTGGCGGCTGCCGGGAGCAGACTTTACCCACCAAGTTCAACCCTCACCCAGATCTCAGTGACGTAGGCAAGAAAGGTTCTGGAGAGGAGGAGGAAGAAGCAGCCTCACCCCGGTGCCCAGCCAGCCCCAGGCATTCCTTAACATATCACCAGTCCACAGATGACCCACGCCTGAGAGACAGGTTGGACTCCCACATGCTCCCTTCCCCCACCCATTCCAGCAGCCCCAGCAAACCGTCAGACTTCTCAGACTCTGAGGAAGAGGATGAAGAGGGGGAGGAGGATGAAGAAGAGATCACGGTCTCATAGAGACCCTTCTTGCTATCATGAAAGGGGACATTGCAAAGATGTAAATAAACTAAGGGCTATCTAATTGAAGAGGTGGTGTCCTTCCACACCCACATGGTTCAAATAGACAATGTACCGATCATCATGCAACCTTGGGGTTTCTGTATGACATATTCCAGAACTACCCTGATTAGGAACCCCTTGCCTCAATATCCTCCTGTTGTGATCACTGACTAATCAGCCAGCCTTGCACTTTTCAATTGAAAACTATAGATTAGAAAGCCATTAAAACATACACACCCCATTGGTATTAAGATCATGTTGATTTAGAAGCAGAATAACTAGCCTAATTCAGTTGTGATTCGCTTAGCTAATTCCAGGATGTGTTAATTTCTCTGAAAATAACAGCAATCTTTTCCCCATAAGCCCTAATCTGTTGCGATGCTGCAAAATCCAAGTGGTTGTTAATGATTTGAGAGCAGCCTCGCATGCTGAGCTCTAAAATGCAGCCAGTGTGGATTGGGGTGGTGCTGGTGGGTTGCTATTCCAGAGAGCACACTTACTGAGTGTGGGCATGTGAACTGGAGCTGCCCCTGAAATCATTCACATGCACCCACAAGAACCATGGCTCCTAGCTTGGTTCCAGTGTTGAACATTTCTGTGTTAATTTATGCATCTGTCTGCTTCATACCATTTCCACATTTGTCCCCAGCTCTTTGGCCATCTCCTTGTTTTGTGACTGCTGCAGGTGCAATGTGTGGATGCGGGGAACTGGACCTGCCTCTTTGATTGTTGACTGAACTTTGCTGTCTTTGCACAGCTTCTATGATCTGTACACTATTTTGTACTCTTACACTGTATGGATATTTTATACCAAGGCAATTGCAAGTATGCAGATGGAAGAATATTATATTTTGTCTGGGTTGTCTTTTTTTTTATGTGATTTTTTTGGGGGGGGGTTAACTCAAAGAGAAGCTTAGCTTCTAACTGTGTAACTTATAAAAAAACATTGTCTATTTTGTATTTTTACTTTGTACATATTTTAAATATGTATATATAACAAATGAAGCAAATGCCAAATTAAAAAAAAAAAGGTGTGCAAGGCCTATCATTTCTGAAGCTTGGGGATTACATTTCATGCATTCCTAGTCATGCATTAACAACCATAGCCTGGCTAGAGTGGTGCGTATTCTAAGCTGAAGTGGGTCGTGATTCAGAACACACTTTATGTAGAAGTAACTTCTGTTGATATCAGATGTGCTTAAAAGCCTCCTGTCGGTGGAACTCCTGCATGTCGATGCTGCCCCAGTGGCTTTCCTATGCATGTGCAAATAGCTGGATTAGTGGTGCTAAGCCATCTGGAAACAGCCCAGGACATGACCCTTTGGAGGCAGCGAGAAATGAAGATGAGCCATGATTATGTCCCAGAAGAAGAGGGGTGTACATGCATGTTCCACTTGGCTGTAGCAATTCCTAGGATGCAGCTGCATTTTGCACACATGGACAAATGTCTTTCCACAGCAGATAAAGATGTTGAATGATCAGCAGTGCTGGTAGGGAATTTTAGGCTCTGGCCTTTATGGTCTTGAAAGGCACTCCCCCTGCTTTGGATGGCCATGTATATTACTTCATTTACTTCAACATTTACTTATTCAGGACATTTATATATCACTTGATTCCCCCCCCCCAAAAAAAACCCTCCCCCACCTCCAAGCCTTGCTCCGTTGGGGGCCCTGGGTGTCTATTTCAAAGTCTTGTCCTGATAGCACCACTGAAAACAGTTCTTCCTTTCCTATGGGGGAGTCTGTGCAGGCAAGAAGAATTTGGAGTGGAAGGGTGACAAGTTAACAGGGCTTGCTGAGAGCTGCTTCCCACTGACTTGGGAGCTGCATCAGCTTTAAAGGTTGTTTGTAGTTATAACAACAATCCCTTGTTTGAAATGCCTCACCTGCATTGATCCTGCTAATCTCCCGGCCCTCTATTTCCACCAGGGATGATGCTCCATACAAAAATTAAAAATTGCACAGTCTGAAAGGGAAGCATGCAGATCCTGCATGCAGGATTACGTATTCAGATGCATATTGCTCTTGCAGCCTGCAATCTTCAGGTATCTTCAGGAGGAAAGTGTGAGATCTACAGTATTACTTGCAAACAAAGGAAGTAATTAAATACCCACATGACATATAGAAAACATAAAATTCCAAGGTGTATTAAAAACAAAACGAAATTCAGGAGGGTTTTTCTCTCTGCCACTTTGTCTCATTATACCTTGCACTAGTGTAAACTTTGTGTGTGTCTGCAGAAGTGCAGGTAAATGTCAGGTGTGACTCATAACCAGTTCTCACATTAGTTATCATTCATCCTGTGATGGAAAAAGCAATGCAAGAAACAAATCTTCAGACAAGCCCTTGCTACCCAACTATGTTGTAATACTGAATTAACAACCAATGTGGAGGGAAATGGTCCCTGGATAAATTATGAATTTGGTCTGAAAAGCGAATGAATCAGAAAAGAGTACATAAAATAAGCACAATTAAAAGTGTATAATTATGCCATAACACACACTTCTCATCTGTAAAAAGATAAATAAATTTCATTTTATAATGCATATAAATCAGAGAGAACAATTACGTGCAGCTAAAAATAAGGTCCTGCATTTCAGTCTTCATTGCTACTGTCACTCAACCTGTGATTGAGAAAGTGCCAAGAAGCTGATGACCTAAGAGACTGATGAAAAGCAGGGTAGTAAGAAGTGAGAACAGAGTTGCTATTTAGTGCCATCAAGAAAGAAAGAAAGAGAGAGAGAGAGAGAGAGAGAAAGAAAGAAAGAAAGAAAGAAAGAAAGAAAGAAAGAAAGAAAGAAAGAAAGAAAGAAAGAAAGAAAGAAAGAAAGAAGCACCCAACTCTGGGGTTGTACTGTGTGGGGGAACTAACAACCACCAAATGACATGAATGCTTCTCCACAAAAATATTAAAGGAGTGAGATGGTAAACTATGCTGTTTGCAGTGTGGTAACAGTGTTGCAAATGCCATCTACTTCACTCCTGCCACTATGTTCCATACAACCATCAAACAGGATGTGTCATCAAGAAAAAAAAAGCAGACATTGCACTTTAGCAGGTTCAACAAACTCAATAAAGCACTAAGCAGATTTCTCTCCTAGCACAAGCATTTCTGCTTGTGTGCTGTTCTGGGGGTTTCCCCCACTAACTCAGAGCCAATTTGGGGAGGGGGGCACGCAGTGGGCTAGCGGAGAGGGGATGAAAGCCCCATTGTGCTAGCAGAAGACTTGCATAAGCTTCTGCTGGGTGGGGCCCATTAGTTAAATCTCACCCTATATATGTTTAATTATGGATCAATGCGACCCCCCCCATTCCCCTTACACAGCTACCAAGTTCCCTGGGAGCTGTAGCTCTGTGAGGGGAATGGGGAGTGGGGGTCCCTCAACACCTTCCCATAATTTTGGGGGTGAAGCCATGGCTGTTTAAAGTGCTGCAATATTGCTTTAAATGTGTAGTGCAGGCAGGGCCTCAGTGATTTCTAGAACTCATTCCAGCCATGCAACAGAGGTGTAGCCAAAGCAATCTTGAGCAGCGTTTTAGCAGTGCATTGCATTTATTATTGTTATTATTATCCTTCCCTTCATCTCAGAGGAGCCCATACTGTAGTTTTATGATGTAGTTTTATGTAGTTGTTATGATGTACTTGTTATTTTGTAAATTACTTCGAAAGACTGCCTCAAGTATTAAGCAGTATATTTGTAGTTGTTTAGCCGTTTAGTCGTGTCCGACTCTTCGTGTCCCCATGGACCAGAGCACGCCAGGCACTCCTGTCTTCCACTGCCTCCCGCAGCTTAATCAAACTCATGTTTGTAGCTTCGAGAACACTGTCCAACCATCTCGTCCTCTGTCGTCCCCTTCTCCTTGTGCCCTTTCTTTCCCAACATCAGGGTCTTTTCCAGAGAGTCTTCTCTTCTCATGAGGTGGCCAAAGTATTGGAGCCTCAGCTTCAGTATCTGTCCTTCCAATGAGCACTCAGGGCTGATTTCCTTAAGAATGGAGAGGTTTGATCTTCTTGCAGTCCATGGGACTCTCAAGAGTCTCCTCCAGCACCATAATTCAAAAGCATCAATTCTTCGGCGAGCAGTATATTACTATGTAAAAATAAATTATGGTCAGCCTGTGTAAGGCATCTTCCCATGTTCTAAAGGTATACAAAATGCGCCCCCAAATCTCTTATTTTGAAACTTTTAAATGCAAGTGCTGGGAGTGTGCATTTTCCTTTTTTTGTGCACTTCTAAATGCTTTAGTGTTTTCAATGCAGTTTTTAATAGAGGCTTGTTTTTGTTTTTTACACTGCTTGTGTATTTTTAGTTGCATTTGTTTACATTCTTGTTGTGAGCCACATTGGGACCTGCACTGGGAGAAAGGAGGGAGGGAGCCAGCGAGCGAGAGCGAGCTTGTATGAAGATTTGGTCACTTAAGCAACAAAGCAAAGCCCAATTTCAGTTAGCTTGAGTTTGCTGCCATCTGGTGGTCAGATTGAGATCATTACAAAAACTTTCCTGAGAGCTCTTCATATCCTAATGTGTGTGTTTTGGAGGGTGTCAGTCTGGCTGCTGTCCTGAGTCCATTTCAGCTATTGCAAGGCTGCAATAAACCAGTTCCTTTGTTGAAGTAATGATTTGGGCTAGCTAGTAAAGTCACAACAATTAGCAGAACCGGAGATGTTGCTCTGTGCCATGGAACAAATGGATAGGCTTTATCCCCACCCCAAACTAGCTGCCAGAGTGGCTGAGTTGAGCTGGAAGCAGACTGGAAGCTGGAGACACAGGGACATGCTTGCTCTGTGCTGGATCCAAAGCTATGATTAATGGAGAAGCAAGATCATTGGGGATGTTAAAGCTGTGAATCCCTCTATCATATGTGCAGGTTGTATATATGTGTAAATAAACCATATATCCTATAAAAATCCCAGTCTTACTAACCTTCATTCCAAAGACTCCAAACCCTGGGCAAACCCTGGAACCCCTGGATTCTCTCACCACTCAGAGACAGGGACGGTGTACATAACAATACTAAATAATTTTGGGATCAAACCAGACAAGGCTAAGCAATTTTATAATCCTATTCATTAATGCTTAAATCACTATAGCTTACACCAATGAGATTTAAGGCAGCTTATTTTCTGGATCACACGTCTCATTCACATTGTAAATGACTGGATTCTATGCTATCTCTAGGTTTGCTGATAAAATGCTGCCTACAAACATTTGAACGCCTCTACCTCACCTTTCTCCATTAGTTGTTTCCCCGAGGACAGTTATGGCAGAAAAACATGTTTGATCATTTAGGGTGCAATCTTGGACCCAGTTACCAGGAAGAAAAGTCCCATTGAACTCAAAGAGGCTGCCTTAACAACATAAGAACCTTGCTGGTTCAGATATAAGACTCATCTAGTCCAGCATCTGCAGAATGGTCAACCAGATGTCTATGGGAAGCCCACAAGCAGAGCATGACAGCAATAGAACGGTGTTTTCCAGTAACTGGTACTCAGTACTCTACTGCCTGATACTAGAGGTAATGTAGACACCATGACTAGTAGACATGTTTCTCCATGAATTTGACTCTTTTGGCAGCAAATTTGTAACTTGCTCTATGTGCTATGTGAAGAAGTACAGTGCTTCCTTTTTTCTTTGTATCCACTGTTTCCCACCATTCAACTAGGGTGGTGCTGTGGTCTAAACCACTGGGCCTTTAACTTTGGAGGGATTTTGAAACATGCTTTGAAATATCCTTTGGATTTTAGTTCTGACTATGGAGAATGGGCTGACCTGTCGAGAAGGGATAAAGACATTGTTAGGTTGGAGTCTCCCCGAGATCTACTCCTCAGTGACAAAGGAAGAAAATT